TTCCCGGCCCCGCCCGTTTTCCTCCAAAGGGAAGGAAATCCCAAAGGATTTGAACCTTTTTGACCCCCGGGGAGGGGGCGGAGAAAGGGTCGGAATGAGGAAATTCCGGGGATTCCAGAGGCCGCGAGATTCCAGAGGCCGGGAGAGCCCCGGGATTCCCGAGCCGAGAGACGGGGGAGATGGCGATGATTTGCCTGGAAATCACCCGCGCGGTGAAGATCAAGGTCTCCAACAGGACCCGGGGGGTCACCTTGGAGAGCCCCAGGTGAGGGGGGGGACCAGGGAGGACCCCCGGGGTGCCAAAGGGGCGGGTCCGGGTGGGATCTTCATCATCTTCAGCATCTTCAGCATCTTCACCCTGGGGTGGGACCTTCATACCCGGGGGGGGTCATATCCCAGGGGTGGGTCCATCCCCTGCTGCTCCCACCCAGCACCTCCCAGTGATCCCAGCACCTCCCAGTGACCCCAGCACCATCTCCCACTGATCCCAGCACCATCTCCCAGTGACCCCAGCACCTCCCAGTGATCCCAGCACCATCTCCCAGTGACCCCAGCACCTCCCAGTGATCCCAGCACCATCTCCCAGTGATCCCAGCACCTCCCAGTGATCCCAGCACCATCTCCCAGTGACCCCAGCACCATCTCCCAGTGATCCCAGCCCCTCCCAGTGATTCCAGCACCTCCCAGTGATCCCAGCCCCTCCCAGTGATCCCACCCCATCTCCCAGTGACCCCAGCACCATCTCCCAGTGACCCCAGCACCTCCCAGTGATCCCACCCCATCTCCCAGTGACCCCAGCACCATCTCCCAGTGATCCCAGCACATCCCAGTGATCCCAGCACCTCCCAGTGACCCCACCACATCCCAGTGATCCCAGCACCTCCCAGTGGTCCCAGTCCCTCAAAGTGACCCCAGCACCATCTCCCAGTGGTCCCACCCCCACCTCCCACTGATCCCACCCCCCGTTCCTCCCCCACAGGATTTACTTGCCCCGTGGCCACTGCTCCGTCCCCCCCGACCCCGAGGTGCCCCCCGGCTGCTCCACCACCTGTGAGTTCTCCAGCTCCTCGTCCCCGGGCTGCTCCGGGATCCTGATCTACAGGGTCTGTGCCTTGACCTTGACCATCTACTTCTCCAACCCCCTGGAAGACAACGAGTCCCCCCGGCAGCTGGCCCTGGAGCTGACCCACTGTGAGAGCCCCCAGGACCAGCTGTTCCGCCGTGACAAACAGCTGGGTGAGCTGGAGGACATCTACGAGCAGATGTCGAGGAGGAACCTCGGCCCCACCACGAAAAGGACCTCGTTCGACCGCATTGCCCCGGACACCCACTTAGACACCGCCGAGGTGACCCTCGGCAGCGTGGAGGTGCTGGCCACCATGTCCAACGCCCGGAACGCCGTGGTCAACCTGGTGGTGAGGAACATGAGTAACTGGTGAACAAAACCGGGAGCGAGACCCTCTGTGGGATGGGAGCTCCACGAAGACCTCCAGAAGGACGTCGTGGGCACCCCTGGGACCTGAGAGGCACACGGAGAAACCTCCAGATACGTCTAGAACTCATGGGCATGACCCAGAACCCCATAAAGACCTCAAGAACCCCATAGGTACATCTAGAACCCCACAGACACCTCTAGAACCCCATAGGCACATCTGGAACTTTAAGATGCTTCTAGAACCCCATAGTCATCTGTAAAACACTGCAGACATACCTGGAACCCCATAGACACCCCTAGAACCCCATAGACACCCCTGGGACCCCATAGACACCCCTGGGACCCCATAGACACCCCTGGGACCCTATAAATACCTTTAGAACCTCACGGTCCCCCTGTTTTTGGGATCCCCCCTCAGTTCCACCCCCCCCTTTCCCTTTTTGTTTCGCTCAATAAAAGGGGAATTTTTGCCCTTGATCCGCAGAGTCGAAAACTGGGAATTTGGGATCTGGGATGGTCTGGGATGGGGGGGTGGGATTTGGGATTGGGGGGTGGTTTGGGATTTGGGACGGAAAGGGTGGTTTGGGGTGGGAGGGGTCGGGTCTGGGAATGGGGTGTGAGCCGAGGTGGGACCCTCAGCCCTTCAGGGGATGGAACTTTTTTGGATAAACCAGTTCAACCAGTCCCACCAGTCCCACAGGGAATCACACCAGTCTCACCAGTTCCACCAGTCCCCTGGGGACATTAAACCAATTCCACCACTTCCACTGGGAATCACACCAGTCCCACCAGTCCCACCAGTCCCACCAGTCCCAGCCCCCCTATGTCCCCCCCCAGTGGGGCCATCCCGGGGATCGGCCCCTCGGGATCACCAAATCCGGGGGATTTTGGGGTCTCTCGGCCCCTGATTCCAGAATGACCCCAAAATGCCCTGGTCCTGGGCAGGGAGGGGCTGGGAGGGTTTGTGGGTCGGTGCCGCACAAATCCCTGATTTCCGGGAATTGCCGGAGCTTCCGGGAGTCGGGAACGGACGTTTCCTCTTGAAGCTTCCTGGGGCGTCACAACCAGGAAGTGGCTCCGGGGAGCAGCGACAACACGGGGAGGAGACCCCGGGGGGGGCGGGGAAAGGGCGGGAACAAGGAAACTCTGGGACTGAGGAGATCCCAGAGGTCAGGAGATTCCAGAGCTGAGGAGATTCCAGAGCTGAGGACGTTCCAGCTCTCAGGAGGTTCCAGAACCGAGGATGTCCAAGAGCTGGGCGGGTTTCAGAGCCTGGGAGGTTTCAGAGCTCAGGAGGTTCCAGAGGCCGGGAGAGCCCGGATCTGACAGTGACATTCCCGAGCCGAGGGGATCCCGGACTGGGATGGGGGAGATCCTGAGCAGGTCCCTTTTCCCAGAAATGACCCGCACGGTGACCATCAAAGTCTCCAACAGGACCCAGGACATCACCCTGGATTACCCCAGGTGAGGGGGCGGGGCCAGGGAGGACCCCCGGGGTGCCAAAGGGGCGGGTCCGGGTGGGATCTTCATCATCTTCATCATCTTCAGCATCTTCAGCATCTTCAGCATCTTCAGCATCTTCATCATCTTCACCCTGGGGTGGGACCTTCATACCCGGGGGGGGTCATATCCCAGGGGTGGGTCCATCCCCTGCTGCTCCCACCCAGCACCTCCCAGTGACCCCAGCACCATCTCCCAGTGACCCCAGCACCATCTCCCAGTGATCCCAGCACCATCTCCCAGTGACCCCAGCACCATCTCCCACTGATCCCAGCACCTCCCAGTGATCCCAGCACCATCTCCCAGTGATCCCAGCACCATCTCCCAGTGACCCCAGCACCATCTCCCAGTGACCCCAGCACCTCCCAGTGACCCCAGCACCTCCCAGTGATCCCAGCACCTCCCAGTGACCCCAGCACCTCCCAGTGATCCCAGCACCTCCCAGTGACCCTAGAACCTCCCACTGATCACACCCCCCGTTCCTCCCCCCCAGGATTTACCTGCACGGCGGCCGCTGCTCCGTCCCCTCCGACCCCGAGGTGCCCCCCGGCTGTTCCACCACCTGTGAGTTCTCCAGCTCCTCGTCCCCGGGCTGCTCTGGGGTCCTGAGCTTCTGGGCCAAGACCTGCACCTTGGTCATCTTCTTCTCCAACCCCCTGGAAGACGACAAATCCCCCCGGGAGCTGGGCCTGGAGCTGTCCCCCCACAGGAAGGTCTGCAGGCTGAAGGACCTCTACGAGGAGATGTCGGGGAGGGACCCTAAACTCGTCACGAAAGATTCCAATTTCGAACGCGTCGCCCTGGACATCTGCCAGGATTCCATCTGGAAGACCCAGGGCCCCCTCAACGTGATGGCCACCATGTTGAACGCCCGGAACGCCGTGGTCAGCGTGGCAGTGAGGGGCTTCAAGTAGTCCGAGGAGAAAACTGGCAGTGGGACACCTCTGGAACCCCATAGACACCCCTGGAACCCTATAGACACCTCTGGAACCCTATAGACACTTCTGGAACCCTACAGACACCTCTGGAACCCCATAGACACCCCTGGAACCCTATAGACACCTCTGGAACCCTATAGACACTTCTGGAACCCTACAGACACCTCTGGAACCCCATAGACCCTTCTGGGACCCTATAGACACCTCTGGAACCCCATAGACAAATCTGGGACCCCATGGACACCCCTGGAACCTCATGGACCCCCCGTTTTTGGGATCCCTCCTCAGTTCCACCCCCCCTTCCCTTTTTGTTTTGCTCAACAAAAGGGGAATTTTTGCCCTTGATCCACAGAGCCGAAAACTGGGAATTTGGGATCTGGGGGGGTCTGGGATGGTGGGGTGGGATTTGGTATTGGGGGGTGGGATTTGGGATATGGGGTGGTTTGGGATGGGGGGGTTCAGGAGGGAAGGGGTGTGTTGGGGTGGGGGGGGGGGTCGGGTCTGGGATTGGGGTGGGGGCGGGAATGGGGTGTGAGCCGAGGTGGGACCCTCAACCCTTCAGGGGGTGGAACTTTATTGGATAAACCAGTTCCACCAGTCCCAGACCCCCCCTTTGCGCCCCCCCCAGATGGGTCCATCCCGGGATCGGCCCCTCGGGATCCCCAAATCCGGGGGATTTTGGGGTCTCTTCTCACCCAAAACGCCCCGGCCGTGGGCAGGGAGGGGGAGGGGCAGGGAGGGTTTGTGGGTCAGTGCCGCACAAATCCCTGATTTCTGGGAATTGCCGGAGCTGTTGGAAATCTGGAAGACACGTCCTCTTGGACTTTCCCCGGGAGCCACCGCCAGGAAGTGGCTTCGGGGAGGAGTCCCCGAGGTGGGCGGAGAAAGGGCTGGAATGAGGAGACTCCCAGGGCTGAGGGGATTCCAGAGCTCGGCAGCTTTCAGAGCTCGAGAGATTCCAGAACTCAGGAGGTTCCAGAGCTCAGGAGGTTCCAGAGCTCGAGAGGTTCCAGAGTTCGGGAGAGCCCGGATTTGAGGGTGAGATTCCCGAGCCGAGGGGATCCTGTGTTGGGATGGGGGGGAACAACACGAAGATAAATTGCCAAGAAGGAGCCCACTCGGTGAACATCACCATCAGTGGGGACCTCAACGTCCACGTGGACAGGCCCAGGTGAGGGGGCGGGGCCAGGGAGGACCCCCAGGGTGCCAAAGGGGCGGGTCCGGGTGGGATCTTCATCATCTTCATCATCTTCAGCATCTTCACCCTGGGGTGGGACCTTCATACCCGGGGGGGGTCATATCCCAGGGGTGGGTCCATCCCCTGCTGCTCCCACCCAGCACCTCCCAGTGACCCCAGCACCATCTCCCAGTGATCCCAGCACCATCTCCCAGTGATCCCATCACATCTCCCAGTGATCCCAGCACCTCCCAGTGACCCCAGCACCATCTCCCAGTGACCCCAGCACATCCCAGCGATCTCAGCACCTCCCCGTGGTTTTGGGACCACCTCCCACTGATCCCACCCCCCGTTTTCCCCCCCCAGGTTTGACCTGAACAGCGGCCGCTGCTCGATGCCCTCCGAGCCCGAGATGTCCTTCAGGTCCTCCCACACCCAGAGGCCCTACAGGACCTGGCCCCCGGACTGGGACATCCCTGGAGGCCTCGGGAAGGACGTCGTGGGCACCCCTTGGCCCTCAGAGGCACCCGGAGAAACCTCCAGATTCCTCCAGAACTCATGGGCACGACCCAGAACCCCATAAAGATCTCTGGGACCCCGTAGGCACATCTGGAACCCCATAGACACATCTGGAACCCCATAGACATCTCTAGAACCCCATAGACACCCCTGGGACCCCATAGACACCCCTGGGACCCCATAGACACCTCTGGAATTCCATAGACACCTCTGGAACCCCATAGACACCCTGTTTTTGGGATCTCCCCTCAGTTCCATCCCCCCTTTCGCTTTTTGTTCCGCTCAATAAAAGGGGAATTTTTGCCCTTGATCCGCAGAGCCGAAAACTGGGAATTTGGGATCTGGGGGGTGGGATTTGGGATCTGGGGGGTGGTTTGGGATGGGGGGGTTCGGGAAGGAAGGGCTGTGTCGGGGTGGAGGGGGTCAGGTCTGGGAATGGGGTGTGAGCCGAGGTGGGACCCTCAGCCCTTCAGGGGGGGAACTTTATTGGATAAACCAGTTCAACCAGTGCCACCAGTGCCATGGGGAATCACACCAGTTAAACCAGTTCCATTGGGAATCGCACCAGTCCCACCAGTCCCACCAGTCCCACCAATTCCCATATGGAATTGCACCAGTCCCACCAGTCCCAGCAGTTCCATTGAGAATTGAACCAGTCCCACCAGTTCCATTGGGAATCATGTTACACCAGTCCCACCAGCTCCACAGGGAAACACACCAGTCCCACCAGTCCCACCAGTCCCATGGAGAATCACACCAGTTCCCCCAGTCCCACCAGTCCCAGCTCCCCATGTCCCCCCCCAGATGGGGCCATCCTGGGGTCGGTCCCTTGGGATCACCAAATCCAGGGAGTTTTGGGGTCTCCTCGCACCCAAAACGCCCCGGCTGTCGGCAGGGAGGGGGAGGGGCTGGGAGGGTTTGTGGGTCGGTGCTGCACAAATCCCTGATTTCTGGGAATTGCCGGAACTTCCAGGAGTCAGGAATGGACGATGCCCTTTGGACCCTCCCGGGGCGTCACCGTCAGGGAGCGGCGACAACACGGGGAGGAGACCCCAGGGAGGGCGGGGAAAGGGCTGGAATGAGGAAACTCCGGCGTTGAGGGGATTCCAAAGGTCGGGAGGTTCCAGAGCTGAGGAGATCCCAGAGCTCAGGAGAGCCCGGATTTGACGGTGGGATTCCCAAGATGTCGCAAACCGGTGTGATTCCCAAGGTGATAGATGCCGCTGTGGAGATCGCGAAGAAGGTTTTTGCCCCGTCAGAGGCCCCCAGTACGACGGTCTACATCACCAACAACATCACCAACAACATCACCAACAACATCACCAACAACATCACCAACAACATCCTGGTGGTCAACGACTCCAGGTGAGGGGGCGGGGCCAGGGAGGACCCCCAGGGTACCAAAGGGGCGGGACCGGGTGAGATCTTCATCATCTTCATCATCTTCATCATCTTCAGCATCTTCATCATCTTCATCATCTTCAGCATCTTCAGCATCTTCAGCATCTTCATCATCTTCACCCTGGGGTGGGACCTTCATACCCGGGGGGGG